TAAAGCCTCATAAAAACATTTCAAGCGTAGTTCCAGCTTATTCGATTGCTATATACAAAGGAATATTCTAGTAATGCTAGAGCCCCAACGGCTTGACAGACTTTGCGTATTGCTGCCTCTTATCTATTACCGCTCCACTAGATTGTACAGAGTGAGATAAAAAAACTGCAACAAAGTCAAACGCTATATTTTTTTTTTTAATTTTATTGAATGAAGGCAAAACATGTAGGAAATAGGATCAAGTTTTAGAATTGTTCGAATTTGTCACCATTGGCACGAATAATGGCCTTCCTTCCTTCTGCCAATGAAACCGTCACACGTTGCCCGAATGTTAATCTACGGTATTTTGACCCATTCCCGGCGAAGCACTTGCTTGCTCTCCAAAATACTCCAGACACAATAGTCGAACGGATTTTTATCCGGAGATTTTGGTGGCCATTGTGCGCTGGAAATGAAGTGAGGAACCTCATTTTATAACCATTCTTGGGTGGCGCGTGCTGAGTGCGATATGGCTGAGCCCCTTTGGAATGCCCAAGGTCTGCGGCCAAGATATTTGCGTGCCCAAGGCTTTAATACACCCTCCAGAATATTTTCGCGATAATATTCGGAATTTACTCTGATGCCACGGTCGGTTAATACGAACGGAGAGCGACTATCGGCTGTTATGGCGGCCCACACCATCACCATGGCCGGCGCTTGAGTTCTGGAGGCCAACCGAAGGTGCACATTTTCAGCTGACTTCTGTGGCAAGTAAACACTATCATTTGGTTTGTTTACAAACTGCTGGACAACGAATGTTTTCTTATCGGAGAAAACCAAATTCGGCAGTTCACCACATTCAGCTAAGCGAAGCAACTACTTGAGTCTATTATCTTTCTGTTGCGGTGTAAGTTATTGCACTTTTTGTTATTTTAATTGCTTTACCCGAGCTCATTTTTCAATATTTGCCGAATCAAATATTGCGATATATTCAGCTCACAAGCCATTTTAAGGCCACTGCGACGCGGTTTTCGATCAAGTAGCTTCTTTACTCTTCGAACCATTTCTGCTGATGTTGCTGTTTTCTTCCATCCACTTCCTTGACGTAACAGCTATCGGACGGAGTGGCTTAGAAATGACAGCAGTCTGAAGTTGGTTGCAGTTTTTTCATCTCACCCTGTACATACACCAACATCATATCAAATTTCAGGATTCCAACACTATTCATTCACCCAATATAAATTTTTCTACTATTTAGTAATTTTCGAGCAATTATAGTACGTATTTTCAAAACCACCTCCATATCTCAACCTTAGATACTAAAAGTGACCTTAATAACAAACTTCAGGATTTCAGCTCTGTAATTTTTTAAAAATTTACTTCTATTTTGTACGATTATAGCATCCAGATCCAAAACCACCTCCTACTCTCAAGCACAGACACCAACCGTGACATCCATATCAAATTTCAAGATTTCAGCTATATTCCTTCACCCAATACCAAATTTAGTGCGATTTAGGGCTTTTCGTACAATTATAGTACACGATTCCAGAATTACCTCACTATCTCAATTCCAGATACCAAAAGATACCTTAATATCAAATTTGAGGAGTCCTCATACCGAATTTCAGAATTCAAGCACTATTTATTCACCCAGTACCAAATATAGTACTATTTAGAATTTTTCGTGCACTTGTAGAACACATTTCCAAAATTAGTACACAGTACCAAAATTGCTTTCAAATCTTGATTCTTGTACCAAATTCCTGTATCGAATTTCCAAGAAACCCTTTTGTACGTCTATCTTTTACTCCATTCCATGTTTAGTAAATTTTAGTACTTTTCGCACACTTTAAGTATGAATTTCTAGAATCCCAGCCTTATCACACGCCTATGCACCAAGAGTGACCTTAGTGCAAAATTTTAAGATTTACCTTCAGCCATTTCATCTTGTCGTGTATATTTTATCAAATACATTTTATATTTTTGTTCGCTTTTTATTTAATTTAAATATATTTTTATGGAAAATTTTAAATTTTGAGTTTATGGTCCAGAAACAGGGGACTTATATTTCCCATTTTTATCCTTGATCTAATATTTACCAAAATATAAGCGAAATTCGGACATTGAAATCAATTTTACCAATTTATTTAATTGTTCAATCGAGGGGTTTTTTTTATGCTACAGTTCGCTGGCTAGTAAACCTTCACAATTATAAAGTTAATGCCTAGTGATACTCTCAGACCATGGGTAAAATATGTTCCTCACAAAATCGTCGTTGAATTAGTAATATAGCATTGTAAAAAATATACAAAATAATATTTTTTTTTTACTGAAATACCATATGCCGACTACTGGCAAATAGACATGCCGAGCATTGGTGTCGACTACTGGCAAAAAAACTACTATTTTAGTAAAATTGCAAATTTTGCCAATTTAATAAAAACAAATTCAATTTTTGTTTATTATTTCGAAAACTAAACAAGATTTGGAATCTGGACAAATTTATATTTTAGCAATTGAAAGATTTCTCTCAGAATGTTGAAAGTTTGAAAAATCGAAAATCCTAAAAGTGCCGACTACTGTACACTTACCCTATTGCGAATTTATGTGAAGTAGATCATACCAAATATTTACCTTATTTGAATGGACATCATGGTTTTAGAGAAGTCACAATTTGGGATTATATTAAAAAACTACTTATTGGAGCAATAGAAATACTCGACCGAATTTCAGCAAATGAAAAAATCCGGTTGAATATTTGTGCTGATATTTTATATATGGTGAACAATAACCTTAAAATCGGATGAAGATGTATATAGAAGCTGAAAAAAAAAATCTGAACCGATCTAGATACAATTTGGCAGCGGTATTTTCGAGCTGTGACTAATGTTAGGTCTCAAATATCTTTGTTGTGGAGTGCATATTACGCATGTGAGGGACTTTAGTTATATCCGATTCAATTTTCACCAAATTTGATGTACTTGTGAATGTACGGTTGAATGTTTCAAAATGCAGGTCATTTAGACAGATATTGGCCATTTGATGCACAATTAACCCGAAATTGGTTGAAGATATATATAGGAGCTTTATCTAAATTTGAACCGATTCTCACCAATTTCAATAGCGTTCTTCCTTAGACCAAACAAATATTGTTTCGAAAATTTCATCTCAATCGAATAATAAATGCGACCTGCATTTTGTTCACAAAAATACATGATCAGACGGACGGACAGACTGACTGAGGGACATGCATAAATCGACTCAGAAAGTGATTCTATGAGGATCCTCGAAAGTAACTATGGGTCTATCTTGCTTCTTTCTCCATGTTACAAACAAATGCACAAAAACATAATACCCTTACCACTATGTGGCGTGGGCTATAGAAAGTCCATTTTAGTGAGTTTCCACTTCTTAAGGACTATAATTCCACTTATTTGTCAAGCATTATCAAATCCTTTATAGAACATAGTAGAAAAATGAATGTATCTTTCGGAAATGATGATTTCCTACATGCCTACATATTTCATCATGAACGGTATCATATTTCAGCTTATTTTTGGATTATTTTGTTTTCATATATTTTCTATCAACTACCATAAGAGGTTGGGTGTTTGGCCACGAAAAATTAAATAATAAGCCACCGTGCGACCGCTACTATTTAACTCCTTACAGTCATATTTAATTTTTTTCTCGAAATATGTCAGGAAAAAATTATCCCATATTTATACCCTCCACCATTCTATGGAAGATATATTAACTTTGTCATTCCGAAACTCCTCGAAATATTCATAACATACCCTACAAAGTATATATATTCTGTATCAGCGTAAAATTCTAAGATGATCTAGCGTTGTTCGCCTGTCTGTTGTAATCACGCTATCTTTCGACCGAATTGAGATAGAAGGCTAAAATTTTGCATACATGTATAGTTTACCAATAGGCAGGTTAAGTTCGTTTTCGTTCCTCCCGATATTCGGTATTTTGATGATTTCAGCAACATTATTCACCGCAACCGTTTCAAATTTCGTACTAGAAGATACTAATGGGTACTACAACCTATGGCAAAAAATTTTGTATGCAGGTTCAGATTTTCGTATAGTCACCATATAACGGTACCTCCCGATATTCGGTATTTTCATAATTTTAGCGACATTTTTTATGGAATTATTTCGAATTTCGTATTTGAAGTTCGTAAGGGGTACTACAGCCTATGACAACAATTTCTATATGCAGATCCACGTCTTCGTATAGCCCCCATATAACAGTACCACCCGACTGTCGGTATTTAGACGATTTCAGCAACATTATTCACCGGAATCGTTTCGGAATCGTATTGATAGATCTTAATGGGTACTACAACTTATGGCAAAAAAATTCGTATGCAGGTCCATATCTTCGTTTAGCCTCCATTTAACGGTACCTCCCGAAACACCGTATTTCATGTTTTTTTTTTTTTTTTTTTTTTTGACATTATTCACCGTAATTGTAATAAATTTCGTATTTAATGTTCGAAATGGGCACTACAGCCTATGACAAAAAATTTCGTATGCACGTCCACGTCTTCGTATAGTCCCCATAAAACGGTTTTCATTTAAGTGGTAGCTTTCGGCTTTTTTATTGAAATTTTTAGACTTTCTACGAAATGGTGGGGGGTTATTAAAAGTTCGGCCTGGTCGAACTTAGATGCCTTTTTACTTGCTTAATATTTATTTTGGCTTTAAATTAATTGCGTATGAGTAACGCTAACAATTGGAACCCTGTTCTGTACTACAAACTGTTACATGAGGAAAATAATATACAATTAATTTCCAATAGTTTGCAGGATCCTTTTCTCCTGAATTAAAAATTGTAAATTCGCCGAAAAAAAGATTCATGCTAACTGTATCCAGCATTAAACCAGCTAAGAAGACGAAGAATAAAATTCCCAAAAACTCCCAATGGGTTTTCCACGTTTAAAATATTATTGGGAATTGCTATTTCCAAAAATAATAATATGTATATATGTTTGTGAATCTTACCTCCCACAAATCGACATCCAGACAGGTGCTGGACTCCTTGTTAGGTTTGAGTTTTTTCTGTTTCGTTTTTGATTTGGATTTGGATGAACCCGAGGAACCTTTCTTGTCCATGGTTATGGTGTTGAAGATGATGGCAATGGATTGTAAGTTGAATTTATTTTTTGCACTTTTGTTGTTGTTGTTATGGTTGTAGATTGAATATAAATATTGGCTTGTTGGAGGACTTATTTTGAAATGTTATTAAAGTTAGATTTCAGGATGCATAAAGTATTTTTTTTTAGATTTTTTTAAATTTCACATTGGCACAATTTCTAGAGTCCTTTAGTTTTTTTAATTGTTTTAAGTTTTTTTTTTTTTTTTTTTTTGTGTAGAATTGAAATTGTCTTTGTGTCACAGAGAAATTATTCGTGTTGACTGCAGCATCGAACTGAAACGGCGTTTGTCATCATCATCATCATGGAAGTCGTAGTCTTTGCCATCATCATCATCGTCATCTTCATTGAGGTAATAGACATCGTTTGCATCGACACATCATCCAGCATTGTTGTTGGCATAAATGACAGCGTTGTCATCGTTCGACTTTGTTTGATCATTGACATTGTCAGGTATTGAAGGCTTGTGAACTGCACTCACACAAATGAATCCATTGAAATGTCAATGCTACAACAATGACAACGGAATATTCCCAATCGAGAGAGGGAGAGAAAGCGGGAGTGAAAAGAAAGAAAGCTTCTGTTTTATGGTTGTTGTTGTTCTCGATGTTGTTGCAATATCAAGCCCCTTGTTCGGCATTTAATCTAAAAGAAGAAAAAAAGTTTGTTTTTTATTATTTGGTTTTTTAAAGAGAACCTTTATTGCAAAAATCCAACAAGACAAGAACATAAAAAAAACTCAAAATGAACAACAATAAAGGGAAAACTTTGTTGTTTGTTGGATAAAAAAAAGTTCTCTGTTTGACTGTGTATACATGTGTGTGTATGTATGTGTGCGGGAGTCTTTGTACGTCCGGGATGTGAGTGAGTTTGTTAAAGTTTTCTTTTTTAATTGAATTTGATGAAAATAATGATTAACACATGTTGTCAATTCCATTAGTTCATCAACGTTTGATTTGTCATTTGAATTTTTTCATGTTTTCTTTTGGCGAACAATGTTGAATAATGAATTAGGGGTTTAGAGAAATTGGTCCGGATGATGTTAGTAGATATTAATGTGGGGTGTTACGAAAAAATTATTCGTTTTGGAGGATTTGAATTTTACATTAAACAAGAGAGTATATTTACTGGCACATATACACTCTCAGTATGTACACCAGATATATACGAACCTCAGAATGTTTCTTTAATGGTATTTTGAATGAAAAGTTCACCATTTTTTGGCAGAAAGTTAAAAAGCTATTCTTTAAAATCCACCGCAAAAAAATGGATGTAAATTCCCAATATTATTTTTTTTTAAATTGTTTAATTCCTTAGAAACCTTTCATTGTTGTTATACAGATTCCTCTGAAATATTACTGAAAACAATGTGAGGCATTTTTGGCCGCAAATGTTTACCCTTAAGCTCTCTGGTCTCTTTTTTAACCTATTTTTAAAATACTATTAAAAATTAGCTTTAAACAGCATCGTAGAAAACCAAAATGTTCTGCACTTATTTGTCATAAAATTTGGAAGGGCGCCATATTTGTCGATAATACCCAAGGTTTTTATGTCCTATATCGCTTTGAGGCCCCGAAAAAAATATTGGTCCTGGACGTGGTAAGTTATATATAGATCTTCCTATATTGTCGAGCTGATTAGATCTAGATATGTGTGTCCGTCCATCCGTCCGTCTGTCCATGCTCACTTGTAATATGCAACATGTCGCATTTATGACACGATCATCACGAAATTTGGCAAGGGTAGGGTCAGAATATAAGTATAAAGGGGATATGAAAAAACTGCAACCAATCTCAGACTGCTGTCATTTCTAACCCACTCGTCCGACAGCTTTTAAAATTATTCCAGTGACAGAACATTATATTGTTTACAAGCGTACAAAAGCATTTCGGTGAGAATTTTCCAGAAAAAAAGTTATTCGTGATGGAATTCAAGCGTGATAGTGTGAATTCTTTATATTTGGCTGGAAAACCACAAGTGGCTTTCGCTCGTTACCGTGATACTGGTAGCGTAGCCTGACGTCAAGGAAGTGGACGGAAGAAAACAGCAACATCAGCAAAAATGGTTCGAAAAATAAAGAAGCGACTTGATCGAAACCCGAAACAAAGAGGTCAGCTGGAAATGTGCACCTTCGGTTGGCCACCAGAACTAAAGTGCCGGCCATGGTAATGGTGTGGGCCGCCATAACAGCCGACGGTCGCTCTGCGCTCGTATTAATCGATCGTGGCATCAGAATAAATGCCAAATATTATCGCGAAAATATTCTGGAGGGTGTATTTAAGCCTTGGGAACGCAAACAATTTGGCAGTATACCTTGGACATTCCAACAGGACTCAGCACCATCGCACTCAGCACGCGCCACCTAAGAATGGTTACAAAATGAGATTCCTCGCTTCATTTCCAGCGCATAACGGCCAACAAAATTTCCGGATACCAATCCGTTGGACTATTGTGTCTGGAGTATTTTTTAAAACACGGTTGGCACTAAAAATACCAAAGTGTCGATCACCTCAAGCAAGCGCTTCGCCGAGAATGGGCAAAATACCGCAAAGCAACATTCGGGCAACGTGTGACTGTTTCATTGGCCGTTTGAAGTCCATAATTCGTGCCAAAGTTGACCTATTCGAACAAATCTGAACTTATCTAAAAATTGATGCTATTTTCGATATTTTTCATTCAACAAAAATTTAAAAGAAAAACATATTTAAAAATTATTAGAAACTGCAAAAAAGATATTAGATTTTGTTGCAGTTTTTTTATCTCACCCTGTAAGTATTCACCATAAAATTCTAAATCGATTTAACTATCTTTATGTTAGACCCACATTTGTAATGTGCCTAGTCGCAATATAATGGTGCCTTCTAATATTCGGTAATTTGATGATTTTTGTCTCATTTGTTTAAAAATTGGTATTTGTAATTCATAATGGATTCTAGCTTCAGTGGCGAAACATTGTATATATAGGTCCACGTTTTTGTATAGCCCCATAAAACGGAAGATCCAGATATTCAGTATTTTCATGATATTTGATACATTTTTCTACGGATTTGTCTAAAAATTTGTATATGTAGTTCATAATGGGTTTTAACATTAAATACTTAGGTCCACGTTTTCCTATAATGCACATATAACGAAACCCACCGATATTCGGTGTTTTGATAATCCTAGTCACATTCACACACGAAATTCTTTCAAATTTGGTATTTTAGAATAATATGTAGATGACAATCTTTGAAGTATAAAATTGGCTATAGAGGTTTCCGATTTGGTATTGCCCCAGGCAACAGGCCCACCCACATTGTTTTTTTTTTTTTTTTTTTTTTGAAAATTTAGCAGCATTATGCAAACGTTCTTACTGGCGTTTGTAGTTCATAGTGGAACGCGTTTAAATTCAGATAAATTTATATAAATTTTTTTCTTTACCCAAAGGTGGAGGGTATTAGGGTGTTATTTCCTTGTCTTTATTATACAGTGTCCGAAAACAATGCGAGGATTTTTTGGTCGAATTTTTATTATTATTAAATTTAGATGGAGTTTGGATGCGGGCAATATCGGTCCACTCTATCTGTTACCTCCCTCACTAAAAATTGAAACTTTCAAAAAAAAAAACATTTCACTGAACAAAAAGAAAAATTATAATCCGATTTTGCTCCAGCTTTTCTAATCCAAATATTTGCATCAGTGCTAGGTTAGGTGGGAAAATGAACAATATCGTACCACTCCGTCAAGTAACTCACCCACAAAGGGTCAAAATTTTGAATAATTATAACTCTTATAAAATGTGATGTAAGAGTATGATTGTTTTCAAATTACCCACACTTTACAATATTTTTGTTTACTTAAGGTTTGTTGTAAAGATGGAATATATCAGTCCAGTCCTTCTGGTACCTCCCCCACAAAGTGTCAAAATTTTGAAAATCCGTGAAACTCCTAAATCGCGAAATTAAATTCAAATTCTATTCAGACTTAGTACATCTCAGTATTTCTATCTACACAAGATCAGCAATAAAGATGGTCGAGATCGAACAATTCCTTCTGGTATCTCCCCCGCAAAGTGGCTGAATTCCGTCAAAGTGCCAAAATGCAGCCCATTTGGTGCACAAAAAACCTGAAATCGGATAGAGATATTTATGGGAGCTATATCCAAATCTAAACCGATCTTGACAAAACTCTTAACCGATTCTCACCAATTTCAAAAGGGATCGTCCTTTGGACCAACAAATATTGTTTGGATAATTTCATCTCAATCGGATAATAAATGAGACCTGAATTTTGTTCACAAAACTATATGGACGGACGGACTGACATGCATAAATCGACTCAGAAAGTGAATCTATGAAGATCCTCAAAAGTAACAATGGATCTTTCTCATTTCCTTCTCCATGTTACAAACAGATGTACAAAGACATAATACCCTTACCACAATGTGGTGTAGGGTATAAAAACATTCGCATTGACGGCAACTTCCAAATTAAGTTTGCAAAAATACAATCGTTTCCAGAATTTCAGAGAAAATCAATTACTAACACAATCCAAATTATTTTTATAATTCAGTTTTAATTTGAGGGAAAATTGTTGACATTATTAGTAATGTTGAATGTGACACATACGCCTAACGATGTCGTTGCTAGCATGTTCAATCCATGAATCGGCGGAAAAATATAAAAACATTGTTAAGTTCGACAGGGCCGAACCCTCTACAATATTAAAAATTTAGTTCTGTTTAAATCGAATTTACTCAAAAACCTAAAATTTAAAGTTTCATTATATGGAGCTATATCTGATATCAGAGTTTTCACCAAGAATCCGAAATATTTAATCACAACTGGTTTAGTCGATTTTGTAAAAATTTATGTAAATTTATATGGCTACACGAAAATGGCGGACCTACACTGAATATTTTCTGCGTGTAGCAAATATACCTCTTGAGAATCCAAAATATTAAAATACAGTTGATTTGGTTGTAGATTGGAAAACAGTAAACGTGGACCGATGCGTGCAAAATACCAAAGCTTCATTTTAAAGTGCGAGCTCAACCGTTAGTTTAACAGACGGGTATAGTTAAATCGGCATAGGAGTTTACGCAGTTTATAAATATACATATATATAATATATCTCCAAAGAATATTTTAAGGTCCTGCAGACCGGATGACAAAGAAAGATTTCGTTTTGCAAAATAAATTAATATTCTTTTATGTTCTGAATGAACCACCTGAATACACCCATCATCACTCTGTGTGTGTATCTGTCAATTTCACTTTATATCTGGCGAATTAAATAGCAAACAAGAAAACCATGTCATTGCCATAGAGCTAGATCTGTGAAAACTTTTCCATGGAAGGCAAGGACATTTCATGTGACTTAACAACTTGCAGCTACCATCATTGTTGTTGTACTTATTTCTTTGTATATAATTGTTATTTAAATTAGGTTATGTTACGGCACAAACATATCTACCCATGAATATGCTATATGTACATGTATTCCAAAAATTATTATAAAATTTTTCTTAAATCCAGCTTCAGGGTCAAATTTTTGATTTCAAAGAAACACATTTTTTTGGCTCTTAGGCAAAAAAAACATGTTTTCAGATTTTTTTCCTTTTGCAAAGTTTTTTTTTTTTTTTGTCATTCAAAAATGGAAAA